TCAAGAGCTTTTGAAATCCCTTTGCCAAAATAAAACTCCGGACTTAAGCTAAAATATATATTGATCCAAGTGCATGACCAGCAGGGTCAGCAGTAAGAATAGAGAAAAAAAGGCCAAAAGGAAAAATAGTGTTAAAAAAAGAGACCAAACAGAAAAAAAACGGTACAAAGAAACAGAAAACAGCGTTGCTGGGAGTCGAACCCGGTTTATCTGCACGTGCAAGAAACTCCTTGACCACTGCACCTCAGCGACACACATGATTTACCAATTTAATTTTGTCATATCAAAACAGTTTTTCTCTGCCATAGACGCTGTTTGAAGCTGGTGGAGCTGTATTTATCATAAATTCAAATACACATTTGAGGAATAGCTTAAGCGCGTATTTCAAAGCTATTTCAATCGCATTATTTCGGGTTCAACGGGGCCGATTCGATGTAGATAATCGATCGAACTAGCTTTACCGAATTTGGTGGAGAATTAGGAGATCAACGGAGGCCCACACTCGAAAAGAATGATATGAAGTTAGGCCCATTTAATTAGCAAAAGAATAGATGAAATATAAACATGCGTGATCTGTGAATAGAACCTCCTATTCTGGAGACTAGACCTTGCCTATTTTAGAGAAAATAAAAGATTTAAGTTTTGATGACCTTGCCTGTCCCGTGAAATAGATGGCGATCCCGCAACACGGTCCGCAAAACAAATTAACAAAATTATACAATCACGGACACAAAATATCAAAACGGTTTACACAAGCAGATTATAGCAACACCAAAGTTCACACACATTCGATCAAAATTAGCGATATATAGCGATATTTGCTAGCTTCTTAGCTTTTCCTCGACCTCGCTCGTCCAAATAACTTTCGTATCCCTTGCTAATTTGCACAAGCGACCCGAGGCTCTTGCCCGTTACTGTGTGACGTCATACTATACTGGCAAGCGGAGTGGGTCAAGAAACTTAGGTGGAAAACAGTAGGCTATGTCTTCATTAACTACATTTCAAGGTTTTGTATAAAAAGATGCAGTGTTCTTAACTAGGCATGTGAAAGGGATACCATTTTTAAATGTAAGGTGTTCAAAAGGGCTTCCTTTCATAAAGGAAAGGGAGAGGGGGGAAATGCTAAGGGTAGTCTGTGAGCGTTGAGCCTCCCCGTATAACTACTCAGGATGTCAGTAGCCTTACCATTATAAGGTTTACCGAAACACTTAAAATTATTGAACAGATATACAAAACGCTTGTTGGCTTTTAATTTTGTTCTGTTATTTTTTGTTCTAATGAAAAGTACATAAAGTGACGTGTTCGAGGAATCTGCTATGTTTATTGTATTACTTAAGAGAGTTTATCATATAGATACTGATGAAATACCAGGAGTTTTCTTTTTACCAAAAAATCATATCTTCATCGCGCGCATTGAAGATACTATGTTTATCTTTCACGTGTGAGGATATTGGTGTCGCCATGGTTACTAACATGATTAGCCAATTATTGTCTTTATTTCTCCTTTATAACTTTATATCCGAGTTTCAAAACATTTTTGTGGCAGGCATTTTGCAATAGGTGACCACTTTAATTGCACTATTTTGCTGTTTCAAAAATGAATAATAAAAAAAAGTCGTGTTTTATGTAGGAATTTCATCGGTATCTATAAAACAAACAGAACATTACATGGCCGCTTGGAGATACGAATTTTATCTTCTCGTGCTGAAAGCGTGCTGAAAGTATCTCTCACGAGTGAGCGAAGCGAACGAGTGAGAGATACTTTCAGCACGAGAAGATAAAATTCGTATCCTCGCGCGGCCATGTAATATCCTCTATTTCTCAACTTCTATTTTAAACATATGAAGAAAACATTATAGCGGAGCTCCCGCGCGCGAAGCGCGCGCAGCGGAGCACCATGGGTAACAAAATTTGGTAAACTATCGATCCGAGAAAATTTGGTTATGACGTAGCGTGCGCCCACCCGTACACACACTTCATGTAAGCCGATGTCAAATATCACAATAGATCTTGCACAACTTTGTTAGCCTTTCAGTTTTGTAAGCCATCCGTATAAGTACGATTAGATTGACAGCTGTCAAAATCATACATCCGCTGACGATTATCACATGACCATCTCGCGGGCTCAGATGAAAGACCAGTCGTTTTGCCCCTACATATAAGCTGATATAAAATGTCACACTTACCAATTCAACATAAAAACGAAACTACCCCGGGCAGGGCTATCGGTCGACTGACAGTCGTTTAAAGTTTTATTGGCAAGCCAAATTAAGGTCAATTGACAGCTGTCAAAATGGGATATGTGCAGACCACTATCAGAAAACTAATAACGTGGGCTCAGGTTCGCTCAGGTACACGATCTGGCATTTTCCACTACAAGCCTGACGGATATGTCTTACTCACACTCGTAGTCTGTTAATTCGAATATTCGCCATTCTAATAAAGGTTAATTGACAGCTGTCAAACTAGAGTATACGCTGACCATCATCACCTGACTGTATCGCGGGCTCATTTTTCTATCCATTGAGGTCTCGTAGTCTTTAAAGTTTTCTGCTGATATTTTATTTGATCACGGGCTCAATTCGAAGCCTCATAGCTTAGAAAATCTATCCATCCTAGAAAATTCGGCAATCACGTGACCGTACACCGACCACCCGACCTTCCGTCCGTCCGCACCACAGGCATACCAATGTTTAATCTCACACTTTCCAGCTAGTTTGGGAGCCTGCAACCTGATATTGTACATCTATGTTTTGATTAATGCCAGCTGTCAAAATAGTGTTTCTGCTGACCAGTATCGCCCGACCGTATTGCGGGCTCAGGTATCGACCCACTGAGTTCGAGTGTTTTTTTGAAGTTATCCGCTGACAAGTTGCTACTTTTCACATGATCTCAAGCTCAAGTTCATTTTTTTTTAAGTGCATATGAAATAAGTCGTGTTCATGACCCGCACTTTTAAAATTTTGATTTCGAACTGACCTCGGAGGCGAAAATTCAACCGGCTTTTACATGCAGGGAAGGCAATCGCTTTTGACTTTTCTCACTGTCACTCGTTGATCACGCTCTACGTCCAGTTCTTATGTTCTCATTGGTCAAAATTTGACAGGTGAGTTCATGAGGAAAATTTATGCAGCGTCTGGAAATTTGCTTACTGATAGCTGAAGGTGACAGAGTTTTGTGTCATCTTGTGATGTTTTAAACTGTCTTTTTCTACTTGATGTACAAAATGAAATACAGCTGCTATCAAGATTGTTCTGTAATTCATGGCGGGTTTGTTTATTGCGCTTCTTGTTGACAAATGCACCGCTTGTCAAAGTCATTGGAAATCCGATTTCGGATGGCATCGTTTTGAAAAATGAGCTTACTCACTTGCCCTTGCTTAAGGCGTAAGAGGGTTGAAAAGTCTCAAGCAATTCTGGAACACTTGATGACCTTCAGAGGCAGCATCTCGACTGGTAAGCCTGAGCAATTATTGTCTTTGATGTGTTTTATTTTTTTTTGGTTTCCTGAAGTCGAGCGTATGGTTTATGCGGCTGAAGTTTATACACGAGCAATGATCTAACCTATAATAGTATAACGTTTAAAAACCCTATAGACATTTTTTGACCGCAACTTCAAAGAAAAGGTTCCAAAGAATATTTAGTTATGATTTTGGCTGTAAACAGAAAGCGCTGAGCGATTTCTTGCCACGAGTTCATCTTGTAAAAGAGCAAACACCGGGAAGCCGCTTAAAACATAAATAAGCTTATGCTTACCTGACTCATAATTTTTAGAGACACTTTACTCTCAATACTTGTCTTCGTAAATGAAAATTATTGTCTCTGTACATGTTTCACCAAATTATATTTAGTTTATTGATTGTTAGTAGTCTCTCTCGCAATTTTTATCGCGGCACCGGTTGTTTGCAGTCGAACAGAAACATCGCATGCAGGAATACTCAAAACGCCGCGCGTAAATTATCACTCGCTTTTAAAGATTACACATAACAAGACCATAAACAGTTTTATAAATAAGGGAAATAAAACCTAAACATAACAAATTCTCTATCATGTTGAAGCGTAAATGGTAACTCTATTAATCGCACTGCAAATTTGGTGCCTGTCAAAAGTGAGAACCCGTCAGGCTGGCCGAAAAGGTGATTTTGGGAATTTTTTTATCGTTTTCACTAAAAGCCCATAATTATTACCCTGCATATCACATAGGACCAGATTTTTCTAACTGAAAAGTCCCGGCATTATGGAATTCTCTTCATGAAAACGTTTTATAATGTGGTCAATGCTATAATTTGTTGTGCAAAGGAAGCGCGTACTTTGATCACAGGTAACCCAGGCTCACTGTTAGTGTCACGAACATATGGGGCGAAGTTTAGGTCTGGAAATTTGCTAGAAAATGGTAATAAAAATCGATGAAACTTACCATGTGGCGAGTTGTTGTTGTCCTTAATGTGTACACGAAGTTTCGGGAAAATAGTCTGCTTCACCGTTCCTTCATAGTATTATATTTCGGAGTTGTCCAATTATCCATAGTCTCTCAAAAGGAGCAATGTTGGAGAGACTGGTGAATGCCACATTATGATGCAACAGCTAATGCAAATACAATACACTTTCCAGGTCTAATCTACTGTGATCGAACATGATTGCTATTTTTGGGTGTACAAATAAGACTAGTAACTCGATGTAAAATTTGTTTCACTCTTGGACTGTCAAATTATTTTTCTCTAAAATCACTCAGCCTTTGCCTCAAAAGTTCCATGAATGTGCCCTGATCCATCTGTGGATTACAAGTTTATTGTTTGATTTAAATTATGAATTTATTAACGGGAGCTTCGCTTTTAGCCCTGGCTAAATCTATATATTAGTTAGTAATATGATAATAGTCAAGATCAGTAAGCACCCGCCTTTTATATGCTACAAAACAATAATGCCAGCTCGTTTAGCACGTATTCAGTTTAGTATATGTATCGTCAGGTCAGTCTTTAGTTCAAGTCATCAAAGGCTTGTTTAATCCATCCCTTCGTTACAAATGCCTTTCTCTTCCACCCAGATTAGTTCTTTGTCCTTCGAATACTTGACTTCCAGTTCGTATTTCTCACTTCTTGAGTTGCACTCATCGGCAGGCATGTCACTCCAAACACCGTTGTTGCTGCCAAATTGGGTAGTTCGCTTCCATTTGAACACGTAAACAAGACATATTGTGAAAACTGCGATGACCACAAACACACCGCAAGAAACACCAATAATTAATGGCAGTTTGGTCTCACTGGATGACTCCTTTTCCTTTTGTTTTTCTTCTGTTAAAGGAATTTAAAAAATATTACTTACATAATAGTGAAAGGGACTGGGACCGCACATCAGCCATAGGGTTCTAAAGTGACGACTTCATAAAAATTGAATTTGTGAAATTATGGGATTTGTCAAGATATTCTGAAAGAACAACGCCCAAGACGTCTACTGGCCAAAACGTAGCACTTCAGGGCAAATTGTGTCTGAGATATTAGCCCAGTTATACTCCTGTGACTCCATACAAATCCTTCTAAATTGACTTGGGTCTAAACGTTGGATGTTGTTCTTTCAGAATATCCTGACAAATTCCGTAATTTCACAAATTAAATTTTTAATGACGTCATACTTTATAGCTTTATAGCTGACTATGTCAACACCACTGGACACAGCATCAAGTGGGATCATTTTGATATCTTAGCTTCGGGGAAAACTGATTATCACTGTAAAATCAAAGAACATTGCTTTAACAGGAACTGAAGCCAGCTTTCAATGTCAACGTCAGTAGCGTGCTTTATTAATTAGTTGGTTCTTTTTATAGATTGACTGTTAAGTTTTGTGCTTAATCTCGGTCCCAGTCTTTTTCACTATTATATAACTAGTACTAGTTGACACTACAGCTGCCCCCGCTCTGTATTGTCGGTCAATAGTATTCTTGCTCGTTGTGTAGCTCTTTGAAATATACCGATTCATAATGAAGATGTTCACACATATTCCACACAATAGGTGAGATAAATACAGGAAACGCTTTGATGAAAACATTCTCAGTTTCGGGAATAGTTTATTCTAAACCAAAAGAAAAGATTTAATTAAAAGTTTAATTTTTCGCTATTTCTATTTCACTTTTTACATTTAGTTCATTTTATTTGCCGGAAAGTAAGTCTTAGAAATTAAAAGGACGTTTCATCAATTCACGCTTGCGCATTCTTATAGTGGAAGGACATCTGTGAGCAGGGAATGAGTAAGCACAGAATTTGATGGTCGGCGAATTTCTGTAATCGTCCATCGTTCTGCTAGTGATAAGCTTGCCGTTGAATCATTCACTCTTCTTGCTTGTTTGGGGCCGAGTCTTATTCTGGTCAAAGAAAGAGAAAGAGTATCGAGCAAGGTTTCCAATCAAAGATTTGTGAACTCGTGTCTGGCAAACTCACTTAGTGTTAAAATATACACTGTTATAGCACCTTATAACTTCATCTGCGCCTAACGAGTGTCTTTTGGTCCATAACTTTCATAACAACTGCTCCACAGAATGTCACTGATAACACGTAACGCAAAAGATTATCGAAGTACAGTCGACTCCCGATAACTCGAACCTTCAAGGGAAATCAAAAAAGTTCGAGTTATCGGGAGTTCGAGTTATCGGGAGCTCGAAGAAAATAGCCGAGAGTAAGGTAAAAAACAGTTTTTACTGCACAGTGAACATTTTAATCACATTTAATCGTAGAAATGTCAAGTCAAAATTTAAAGATACTTCTAGATTATAAATCAGAACGTAACGTAACAAAACATAGCCTAAATAGAGGATGTGTTTTACTGTTTTGCGAAGTAAAGCTGCTTCACGTTAGCCTGTGACAATCAACATCAGCCTCCATTAGTAAACCATACTACTACAACACGTTAATAAGAAATCCAAAATTCAATGTTTCGGACGCCAGTAGACGGCTTTTTTCCCGACTTTTTAAGGTTCGAGTTATCGAGGGTAAAATTATATAGAAAATGACCTGAGGGGAAACGGAAATTGGTTCGAGTTAGCGGGAGTTCGAGTTATCGACAGTTCGAGTTACCGCGGGTGAAATTACAGTAAATGTGAGACGGAAATCCAGGGAAATCGATTTTGGTTCGAGTTAGCGCGAGGTTCGAGTTAGCAAGGGTTCGAGTTATCGGGAATCGATTGTATGACTGCACAATTAATGTCACAAAATCTACCTAAGCGGTCCCTTTTCTATTTTACGTCATCCTAACCATTTTGTACTTGCGGTCGCAAACAATAGAAACGTCATCATTACCTACCGATTCCTCGCGGCCCCTGTTCAAGCAAATCGAGATTTTTTTCTATATTGACTGTATGACTATATATTTCAACTGTAAGTACTTTCTTCAATATACGCGCGAGTTACTAGAGTGCCTCCTCGGGATTTCGCCTTCTAGGCGAAATGCCTGCGGGGGCAACTATAGTTTTCAAAATTGTAACGGTACTTTTGAAAATGTATGTTGAGTAGCATACAAAACGTCAAGTTTATAAAAATTAGTAAGTTGAATATTTTTTATCACCGCTGTTTGTGTTCTTTTTCTCAAAAAATAATTATTATTTTAATTATAATTATTTCCGCAAGGAGCCCAAAAGTGAGACCGGCCTCCTTTTATTAATTCACATTCTTTCATGTACACATTAACCAATCAGAAGTCGAGGATAGTTTCCAGCTGGCTTCTGATTGGATTAAATCTGCACGAAAGAATGTGAATAAATCAAAAGGGGCACACTTTTTGGGCTCCTTGATTTAGCTGATAAACGTCTATATCATTATAATAATAATGACAGCAATGATGTGAGCTGTTTGACTGTTCTTAGGCCCCGTCCACACGAAGACGATTGTAAACGAAAACGCTAGTAAACGCAAACTTTTTTATGCGTTTAGGCCTTCCGTCCACACGAAGACGATGAAAACGCTCACCGTAAACGCATAAATTCGAAAACGCTCTCCAAAGTCTTCGTGTGGACGGCTGTAAACGTATATTTTCGTAAACGCTGTGAAAACGCTGACGTCAGATGTCAGCGCCAGTCTCTTTTATCGAGTGCGTTTCCAAGATGGCGTACACACGAGTGTTGAGCTGTGTCATGCTTGCCCTTATTTCAAGCATAATTGCGAGCATTCAATTGAATCATGCAATAATCGATATACAGGAAAACTACAAAAGAAGAAGACTAAACCTCTCAAGATTGTTATCCACGACTACAAGCACTTTTACTCGAGTAAAACGACTTAGATGCAGACGTGAGAGCAAAGAGAGAAGATTCTGGACCAGACCAGGTCGTACAAGTTTTATCACTTTTTTCTTTCGGTTTCTTGCCAGCAGACTTCGACCTTTTTCTTCTCTCTCGATCACAACACGTGTATGACATCGTTTTATGCGTTTACGAGCGTTTTCGTGTAGACGGGTTAAAAAGCTACGTAAACGATGATCGTTTTCGTGTGGACGGAGATAAAAATATGTGTTTACTAGCGTTTGCGTTCACAATCGTCTTCGTGTGGACGGGGCCTTAGGCAACAAGCTCGAATTAAATACTTGTTATCAGGGATTTCCAAACAGACTTAGGTGCTTTACCACACTTTTTTGCGGAGAGAAGATTGTGCTCTGGGATATTTTCCCCGACGCCATTGCTCTCGACGCATGCAGTATTCCTAATTTTTATTTTATTTTGTTTTATTTTTATTTGCCACACAATAATTACAAAAAATATAGGAAAAGAAGAAAAAAAGAAGTGGCGAGGAGACCTAACAGAAACTATAGGAGCTTATGAGAGGTTAGGCCTCCTCGAACTACGGGCCAGAGCTGTTTCACCTCAATTGAAGAAAAGATGGCGAAAAGTCGAAGATGGAAAGATTTATGAACTGTTTTCATACTTACTCAATAATTTAATCTTCAGTTTTTTCTTAAAAGAGGAAAGGGATTGAGAGTTGATGACCTCGTTGTCAAGGGAATTAAAAAACTTAGGCCCTTGAAAAAAGGGTGAGAACTTCGTAGTGTTTGTACGACAATACGGTGGACTGCTGCTTCAACTGTGGTGTTTCAGGGTTCAACGAAGGACAAAATTTGCCCATGGAGAAATCGCTGTAGACTTTGTTTATTCTCTCAAAACGAAACTACGATTTAATAGTCATGCAAAATGGAATGTTTGAGTTTCGACAAAGTTAACGTTATTATTGCGTGCTGTGAGGACATCTACGGTCGTCATTGCATTAAAAAAAGTAACAATGATCGCTTCCACCCATAAGTTGTCATTGTCGTCTTTAATACAAAAAGTTGTTCATTTTCTGTTGTCAGGAATAAACAAACTCGATCGCGATTTGTTGTATTGGAAAAAAATTATCACTGTCTTGTTTGTCCCCTTAGGAACCACATGACATCGCTTTTATCCGCACCAGTCCTTAAGCGTGTGCAAAGAAGGTTGGCATCACGAATAAGGTGTATTTTTGAACCTAATTGGTATGTACGCGGCTACATTTTCTATGGGTTAACTCGTATGCTAATGAGTAAAAATGTAAACAATGACGCCACGATTAATTCGCCCATTTCCGGCATTTACAGTAAAAGAGAGTTTCCAGTTCCTCTCCAAGGACACCGTTGACTATATTCAGCATTCATTAACTTCTTGGATGTGTTACGATGATTAAATTGTCTTTAACCGTTGGAGTACCAAACATCCCAACAGAAACGTTATTATTCTTCTAGTTTAGAGATCTATAAATTAAATTGATAGTCTTTAACTTCTGAAACTCTAGCAAGCTAGATTAAATAGACAACGTTTTCTGCAATCTTTGATGTGCAAAAAATGTGTGGGGCAAGAAAAAGAATTTCTCGCTTTGCATCGCCACATATCACTTGGTAATTTCCACAAACGTTCCAACACAGGACAAAATAACAATTAAGTGTTGATATCGACAGATAATGTCAGCTTTTCTTAAATTTCATATGGCTTTCGTGGAAGGGGTTGACGTTTGTTTGCCCTGGCGTCGACTTCTGACAAAAATCCTTGGCAACGTAGTTTGACATGTTTTATTGCCCATAGAGCATCGGTACGGTTGACATGTAAGCCATGCAAGATCAATAAAGTTCTCTAGGGGGTTTGTTTGTTTGTTTGTTCAATACATAGGATTCAAGGGGTACTAAAACCTAACCTTTTTCAGTGTTTCTTAGCTTCAGAGAATTTGGTTCCACCTCTAATATCCCAAGCTTCCCTTTAGCCGCTTCTTTCTTTAAGGGAGCCAAAGCTTCATCGGCACTAACACTTGTGTTAAATTTCAGCCGGAAATCTGCTATAATACTACCAGGCCTGCAAAAGACATCCATCAAGATTTCACTTGTCCGGGTTGTATACTTATTATTGCACTTCTTCCTGTTCTTCTTCTTCTTTTTTAAAAGTGAGCGTTTTGAAAAATGAAAAACGTTGTATAATCGTAGTTAGTTATATGAAGTAGCTGTCATAATTATTAGTCTATCTCAACCATATGCATCCTTGTGGCACCGGTGGCTGTTATTGTTACGTTCTTCGAAAAGTTGTTTTCAAAATACTGATGATTTCCATTCCGAGCATTATGGTCGTTATGTATGGTTTCAATTAGGAAAAAACGCTTCCATGTAACATTCCATCTTGATAGAAAAGGTCTCAGCGTTGAAAGGTGTATTATTATTATTATTATTATTATTATTATTATTATTATTATTATTTTAAATAAAAAGCCTTACCTCAATGAAACTATTTCAACGTCTATTAGTTCAGAGTTCCCAGAGTATACCTCTAGAATCTGCAAAGGAAAAAAATAGGTGTAATTAAAGGTTGCTTCCACGCCAGAAGATAGTTTAACTAAAACAATAGCCTGTTACAGGAAGTTCCCACTACCCTGGGTACCAGAGGTTTTTCTCGCGTGCGGCGGGAATTTTCGGTGTTGGCCGAAGGCCGACAAATCTTCGGCCGTAGGCCGAAGCCACGAGTGGCGAAGCCGCGAGAAAAACCTCTGGCACGGAGCGGTGCTTTTTACCGTTCCCGTTGACCTTTGTGCTTTTTTATCGGATTACATTTACGCCAATCAGATTGAAAGTCTCCAACTGTGATCGTGTGGGCCGGCACGTGAAGAAGTGTCCAAAGACCCACATTATCCTTAGCAAAACAAATTCGAGTTTAAAATTCATTGCTTTAAGAGCAATCATGACTGGGTCACATCACAGTTCTCCATAGTTGATGTAGCTTCAGTTTAAGCTGCAATCCATTCTTCAAGATTTGGATCTGAAAATCACTATCCGTGAGAATTTTTAAAAAACATCCTGTTAAAAACGCTAACGAGCTGGGCCCAGCGTGACAAAACATTGGGGGAAACCGTCACTTTCACGGACAAAAAGAAAATCGCTTATATTTATTCAGATCCAGGAGGCACTTTGGAGAAATAAAACAACCTAAAAGCCTTATTTAGAAGACCTTAACATTTCAAAAGAGGTCAAAGAAAATGCTCTTGCATCAGAAGGCAAATCATGTGCCGACCAGACACAATAACCGCAGAAAATCAATATGCGTGTCACGACCTCTCAGTATGAAATAATCGGCAAAAATCAATTTTGCTTAGTCAAAACGTTTTTCTCCAGAGCATAATCTACCAATCACGGAAAAAAATTCATTGGAACAAGCAGCATTTTGACATGAGGTAAAAGTCGTGTGTTGCCTTCTGACCCCCCTTTTATACTAAAAATACATGTTTTATTCTTATATTCCTAACCCATCAACACAAACTATTTCAAATTACGTTGTAATCGATCGTTTGAAATAGGAAACTAGTAAAGCTTAAACCGTATTTGCTACAAAAGCTGAATTGGTGATAAAAGCTTAATTGCGTTGAATAAAATTAAATACTCCACTTGTTTGCTCAGAGCTTTTAACTTGTCCTTCTAGTAGATTGCTTATCAGGCTCTTTCAAAACTTTCCAAAGCCAACACAAAACACAACAGCAACACTTCTCGCTAGTACACTTAAGTCATGTCAACAGCAAAGTTGGAAATATTCTTTCACGTGCTGGTCTATTCTTGTCAACCAATTGTAGCGTCTGTTAGATTCAAAGTCCCTCAGGTGGTCGTTAGTAGCCAATCAGCCGTCTTGTCCAAAATCTGGACCAACTGATTTAACCGTGTTAACGATTGGATCGGCGCCATCAAAGCAATAGCGCTCTGCTCCAGAGGCTTTTCGCGCGGGTCACTATAAAGACTTGACAGAAACCGGAAACCGCGCTAGAAAAGTCTCTGGCACCCAGGGTAAGTTCCCACTGACAAGTGCCAGTGAATAAAGCCAGCTGATCACCAATCGATCTTTTTCAATGACGTCTTACGGAATTCATAACAATGCGCACGCACACACGCGCATCATTGTTGTGACAGCTTTTGAGTTAGTTCTACAGCTGTATATAATTGAAACAGACCTCTTCCTTAAGTAATGCCGAAAGTCTCTTAAATCTTTCGCCAGTTTCATCCTTCAATCGATCGTCCCACTCTTCGTTTATACGAATTTCACATGTGAACTCTATTAAAAACAAAAACCGCAATAAAAAATTAAACCAGTCTACAATGTTTTAGAAGATAAAAACCATTTTTAGATGTCGTGGAGAAATTTTATCCTTGGTTATTTTCCTCTGCCAAAATCTGATTATCATTCATAAAAATATCCAGAAAGAAAGAAAAAGGAACACAAACCAGGAATAAAATTTACCCACAACTTATACGAATAAGAGTCGACAATTACCGGGTTTTGATAAGATGCCTGAATTTGATAGCCCCTCATGATGCTATAAATAATGCGAAATGTCTACGGTAAATTATTACATTTTTGCTTTACTTAATCATAAAATTGGTATTAATAATAATTTTGGGCCATAACTGACATGTTACAAGTAACAGTACCGTTATAAGCCTCATTATTCAATCAACTAGACCCAAAGTACGTTTAATTTTTAAATTAAATTCAAAACTCATCAATAGTTCATGAAAAACCAAAAGAAATTAATGTTTAATGATCGTCTTTATATGTGATAAAGGAACGGCTAACGTCCAGTTTCTTACACCAACATAACCCCAAATCTAATATTATAGCGGGAAAGAGTTGATCTGTATCAGATATTTTGAAGCCGTTCAAAAAACTCGCAGTCGTGCTCATGTATTATCAGGTGCAGAGCCATTTCATATGAGAATACTGATAACATTTATAAATAATTATGATTATTATGATAAATATAATTTATTATCGTTATTGTTATTATTATCAATGCAATAACCTGTCTTGTGTTCAAAGGAGACTTCTTTTGTTGTAGTTTGTGAAGGAACATTTTCCTCTCGCGTCGACGGCGGTGTGGTACTCTCTGAAGTTGAAGTTTCAGCAGTGATTAATTCTGTGAAGAAAAAAAGAGAGGGACCAGTCAGCTAGTGCAGTAAACTTACGATTTCGCAAGAAAAAACCAAAAATTCCCCTCGCCTATACACTGGGAAAACCGGTCTTTGTCTTTACCTAGCCGAAACACCTACCCTGGACGGGGGAGTCCTCTGCGTTAACCGTGTGGTACGCAAGACCCCAAATTGGGCACTAAATACAAACCGACGACGGCAAAAGCGACATGACGCTTCATGTCTTTTGGTACCTTATTGCGCTTAATGTTATGTTAGTGTGTAGGGTGCGATTCGCCTTCCAGACTCACCGACCACGTCAACATGCCTAGCTTGACGTCGTCAGTGTGTCATTTGTGGTGCATAAGATCAACTTAAAAGAAGAAAATTTGGTAACTGCTTTGTTTGTAGTGGAAGTACCTGCCCAGCTGCCCTACCCAGCTTACAGGCTGATCGAAAACCTGATAAATGCAAATATGGCCTAACAGGATTAAAAACCCCAATTGGAATTTGGCAGTCTCGTGGCTATTTTCAAGCACGACCATTAAAGATTTAAAATAAAGGCGACAGAGAAACAAATCCAGCTTGCGAACGAGCGATAAAAAATTGACTATTTCTTTTTCTAGTCCGTTGGTACGACCATCAAAGGAGATTACGTATATGGTAATGCTAGCCTTTGAGGGAAATGCTAGCTTTTGCTACCGGATCAAAGCTTTAGCGGCGACCTACACAACTGTATGTAGGATGATACTTTACAGTTGTACATTTGAACCTGTGGGTTGAAGGGACAAACAATTCATTTTTCTTGTTGTGTCCTATCTCGTAGTGTTCATAACGACCTAGCAAGATTCAAGGATGCCCGATCCCTCGATACTTGACGCTAATGCTGCTGCGAACTGGCGGAAATTGCCCATGCAATTTGAGATCTACCTTGTTGCAAAAGGTAAAGATGATAAGGTGGACAAACTGAAGGTTAAAATGTTATTACTTTGTGTTGGGCCAGAAGCCGTCGACGAATATAGCCACTTTGTGTACACGGATGAGAATAGGAAGATTGCTATCAAACTCTTTCTATTAACAGTGTCCCGATATATCCATACTTCATAAAACACTGATGAAATATGGGCTTACCAATAGATTGATCGCCCCATGTAAGGGAATCCAAGACAATTCTGGATTCTGGATTCCAGATACTTGATTCCAGTTTTTGTCAGTGGAACCTAGATTCTGGATTCCAATCTTTAGTAGGATTCCAGATTCCTTCAGCTGTACTGCGGATTCCAAAATCCAGGATTCCCGACTCCAGAAGTAAAAAAATTTCCCGGATTTCGGATTCCACAAGCAAAACTTTCACGGATTCCGGAATCCGGATTCCGTTACAGGGGGCGAGATTTACATATATCACCACAGGCAGCCCAAACTCACGTTACGAGGAAAGGGTGTAAAGTAATTTATTTACCATAGGTAACTCGTGACCTTAACTTTCTGCTGGACGCGTCGGTGTCGCGTTACAGGCGACCGTTGAAAATAAGAGACTTTTTATGAGAAATGAAATACTAAGATCCGCCAACGCTAAATAACGTTAAATCTAATTTTTCCGTCAATGAAATAAATTAAAAAGACTTACCTGCGATTTATTCCACCGTATTTCGATGTCTGCTTGTCGTTTAACAGTTTTTTGACTTTGTTTGCATAACCACTGTTACTCCCTTCATTAGACGAAGTCATTTAGCGTTCGAAGATCTCAGTATTTTATTTCTCATACAAAGTCTCTTATTTTCAACGGTCGCCTGTAACGCGACTCCGACGCGTCCAGCAGAAAGGTCACTCGTCACCTATGGTAAGTAAATTACTTTACACTCTTTCCTCGTAACGTGAGTTTGGTCTGCCTGTGATATATATCACGTCTTAATGTCAAGGAAAAATTCAATTGGTCCAAATAAATGTGATATTTCTTCATGGGAAAGGATAGTTATCTTCCACTTGAAAATCGAGGCAATCCGTGATAGACCGAAATTTGCCTTATCGGTTCTTACGCGGCAGCCTCTCTTAAACGCCCACGCTTAAATGTGGTCAGCAGAAGTGTTCAATTCCAAAATTACAAGGAGCGGTCGCATAGTACAGAGCGGGTGTTTCAGTTAAATCGTCAGGCCGGACTTTGATGTTTTTTCAGTGTCAGAAAGAGTTTCTTGGGAATAGAATTTGCCAACTTCGAACGCACTGGTTTACACAACAGTTCTTTTAGCTGCAGTGTACACCTGTATTAGAAAGGATGATCGATCACTTGCCTGGTGTTGGATTGCTACGTACAGTATAAAACTTCTGGTTAGGATGCATTGCATTGACGTTAAGAAAATGGAAAGCTTAAGGTCAGTTCTTTTGTTTTTCACTCTTGAGTGGCTATTAGTTGAAGAGTAAACACTTTTTCTTGTTAAGCGAAAGGATCAAAATAATTTTTCGTTCTTTTTATGCTTACGGCATGTGACTGCATGCAAGCATGTACATTAGCTGTGAAATGAGATCGATATTTAAACCTCGCAATTTGTTGTTGTTTGCTTAACATGTCGATTTTCACTTTATTATTTACAAATGAAATCAGATTTGTTACTATCTCTATGAAAAATACGCCTGAAAGAACTATTCAGTCAGAGACCACATCAGATGTGCCCAAACGCGAGGAATGAGACATAATCCCCAAATATGTACCAGTCAATGCCATTTTTGCTCCTTAAAGTTGGGAATTTGAACCAAAATGAGGCCTGCTTGGTCTGGCATTTGACTTTCGTGTCAAAACGCTGGTCAGCATTGCAATGGAAAGGGTCTCAGTTGTTCTTTCATTTAGCATGTTCGAGCATGTGCACCGGGTTCACGGATCATTGCTCCTACATTATTCACTTCTTTGTCAGTGGAGCATTTATGAGCGTTTGAAAAAACCTGTTCAATGTGGACTTTCTGGAATGAACATTTTAGTAGAATGAACAAACCTTTGTAAGACATCTTCTTGAGACTTACAACCGAAACTGGGAATGTCAGTTGTGTTTAGGGATCACCCACCCCTCCCCTAAGCCAACACGCTTTTCTCAATTAGGGCAGAATATTGGCTTAGGGGAGGGGTAGGTAATGATCCGTGTTAAGTAGGATAATGACATTGAACAAATGCTTTGACGCAAGGGAAAATTTTCTAATAGTTGCTGATGGGTGAGGGTTTTGACCCTTTTTGAAGTGCTAGCTTTAATTCTATCTTCAATGGCTTCGATTCAGGAAACACAAATAGACAATACTATAAAATATATCGAAGTGGATATGTGGACATGCAGATTTCTTTAATATTATATTGTAGGTTGAGTATGATTGTGCGGGTTAATGTAGTCCTAAATAGGATTTTTGTTGTTGACAGTGACTGACATTTCGACAACCAGTGCGGTAGTCATCTTCATAGTAAAATGAGTTATATCACATCAGTTGGTGGTGTAAACTCTGGTTATTGACCTGACTGGTCATTTAAGTGGCAATGTTAATGGTCATTTTTCAGCTAAGCAGTTATGTTATTGGCTATGAAGACTCGTAATGTCATTGATGCATTTTTGATCTGACTATTATCTCAGTTAAACAGTCCTTTATCGGCATTGCCAGTAGTCCAGTCGTTCTCTCATAGTTAGTTTTGCCCAGGCTTTAGAGTTAATATTACAAAGACCACACAGAAATACCTCCTATGGAAAGAATTAAAGAATTATTTATTGAATTTGGTTACTGAAAGAAATAAACCATCACATCCAGGAAGATGAATGCCAAAATGAATACAACAGTAGATTTCAACAGTTGGTACACTTTACCAAAACGTATCTCTTAAACCAAGGTGACACTGGTAAATAATCTTTCAAATCAGCATCCTCAACCCCCAAAGAATCTCTCTATTTTTTGACTTCAGTCACTTTAGATGAGGTTAGGAAAGTATAACAGTACATGTAAAGAAAATTAGCATCATGGAAGTTTATGTACACATTTTGTGCTCGATGCAATAAAAATATCTTCCTCTCTGAATAAAAGTCTCATAACATAACAGTATATTGAGGAAGAAAGAAATCTGAATCAACCCCGCACTGTTTTAACTGGATCACTTTCAAGTGCCTATCAATCCTTTTCTTTTTGGACAAATAAAAGTGCCTGAAGGCATCACTATCAGTGAGAGATTTGGTGATAAACAGAAGGCAAAAATAAAGCCACGACACATATTTATTATACAGTGTAAATGTATAAAAAAAAAGCTTGTGCATTATACATGTATATGTCTATCAAGCTTTAAAGGCTTTTTTTCGATTGACAGTGCATTGAATGACCTCAGACCTCAGAGTCATGGTTAAAATTTCATGATACAGTGTATTAGCAAATAAAATGAAGGCATACCGCAAGTGGTTAAAACCTGAGATTGTTGCGGCGACATGAAGGATGTGTATGATATAGTATATCAAGAGTCAGTTTTGCTTTGTTTGTTTAATCTAAAATTATTCCTGACTTTTGTTTTCCAGGTGTCCTCAAATTTAATAGAAAACAGTGACCCTTGATGTACTCAGTGAGCCTTTAGAGCGGCTTGCTTTTTTGTTTACTGCATGCTATATTTTGGAAAGTAAATGATTTTAGTATTGCAATAATCAATTTTGATGAATGATTTCATAAAAACCTTCACAAATCCTATCTTATTTACAGGGCGAGTGTTTAGTTTTTACACAGGAATTGATCTACCAGTCGAAGTTCGTAATTGTATGGTTTTACAGAGTATGTGGCTTAATAATTCTTATAGCGTTTAGCCCTTTCTGTTTCAGTGTCAATGCTATAAACTAAATCTAAAAAGAAAAATGTTTCACTGCATGTATTAAGTTAGTCATTAAAATAAAAAATATTAGGACACAGTTCTATACGCATTAATAAATGATTTTTGTTAGGTTATATGCATGTAGTATATATTATTTTGCTGCCTGAATGCATTTTTATCTAACCAACTACTATTTGCAATATGCTGCATTGATTATTACTGATTCTGCACAGTTATTTGGTTTAACTATAGGAAAGATATGTCAAAATTATATAATATAAGTTTCAGATATACTTCACATACCTACATGTACTACATATTTGTCAACTGCATTTATGTTAACATTACAAACTGTATATGTCCAAAAAATGGGAAAGGACCCTTTCTCGTGCTAGCGATTCGTGATGTAAAAATTCTGATCATAAAGAGATTCATCAGAGTGCTCCCATCAGCCTTGAGAATTGCTTGCAATTTAAAAATGAGTATAACCATGTGTTAAGTGTATTAGTATAAAATTATACACACTCAGTACCCTTGGTGATTCAAGCAATCTGATTGGTTCGCTATCTCGGACTATGACGTTATATTCACCACGCTAGGCGGTGACTATAAAGCAAACCAAAATCGCTGTTGTAAACTGGGTGTTTTGCCAAAGTTTCAGAGTAACAACTTTTTGAAAATACAAGAATATCCTAGTGTTAATGATTCTGAAGGTAAGAAACGACGTCATGTTGTTTGAACAGTGTGATTTATTGTGAAGTGATTTAAGCTTACTGTAGCTGACTTTTCATACACTCGAAGCAATGTTCACCACTACAGAGCAAAATTAACGAGGCTGCTTTGTCACTGTTTTTTGAACTCGGGATTTCCTCGCAAGACCAATTTTGCCTATAAATAGAATTTAATTTATGGAGAAAAAAGGAAGGTCAAATATTTTCAAAAATTGTACGTGCCAGCAAGTTGACAAGGCAAAAAAACACTGCAGGTAAACAACACTCACCTCGATTGTGGCCGCTGTTGACAGTATTAATTTGCAAGGAGCGAGAGAAAAATTGCTTATTCACGGTGAGTGGACTGCCGACGGAAGCAAATAAAGCTTAGCGTTTCTTCTCAGAAGGAATAGTAATTTAAACTTATGACGTTTTCGTTTAAACCACTGATGGTAAGGCTTACAAAAAGATCAAAACTATGATTTCCCATGTTTGAAAATACTGTAAAGATCTAAGTTTTGCGCGTCTACTGTTTATGGCTACATGTTCACGCATGAATTTACCCGTCAATCAAACCAATCGTTTTTTTAATGGTTTCCTTTCCGATTCTTCTGAGATCTCTTCGTGTGTAGAGACTAAAATTAGGCTCATTTAATATTGTTGAATAATCCCCGCGACTTCGCTTCGGGGATTATTCAAAAATATTAACTGAGCCTGAGGTGAGTAATTGTTAATTAAACCATTTGTATAATGTATTTAACTATTTAACGGCAGACAACATGATACCCGTTGGAGAAAAGGCTTAACTTTAAAAAAGTTGTCATTTCTAATAAAACAATGTATTTATTTAAGTAGATTTTTGATTATTCTTTCTATAAGGTTAAAAATTATATTTAATGGTGCAGTCAAATTTTGCTTCAAAGCAACATTCCTTTCTGGCAGTGACTCATATGATACCCCATAAGGCAGTTACAGGTGAAGTTGTTGATACCATCCACAAAAGTTATGACAAGTACGATTGACGTAGTCATTTATGTCTATATTTGTTATTGATTAAGGAGACTC